GAAACTAAATGTGCAGAAAAAATAAAAGATGAAAACACAATACTTATACATGGACTCAACTAGGGAAAAAGAACATGATCCTTCCGGACTAAACATTCCACTATAATATGAACTCAATATTAATGCAACAATTGATATTCTTTCTCCATAAAGCTTAATTAATCTACCTTCTCTCTCTGCTCAGAATTCCTACGCATGACTACCTCACCGGTTGAAGCCTCGAAATGTCAAAGGAGAGTATGCCCTTTATTCCTTTTTATAGCAAATTAGCTCACTCTTTAGCCCCATACCTTGTGCAACTTGCTCTGGCAGCAAATTGCCTTTTTTCATCTAATCTTCTGCCAACTTCTCTTTTATCCCTTACTGCCATGCAATTCCTTTTTATATACTCCGTGTTATTTATTTATTTTATTTTCTAACCCCTAAAATAAAATAAACTCTAACATAATTAATATTTGGTAATTGAGGAGATACCCAACATCATGAACATGTGCATTTTCTCAATCCTATGCAAGTGGTATATCCACATTGACATATTTCTTTATATCCTTAAAAATTAACCTTTTGTGCCATGTTTTTTTTGCACCAGGGAACATCTAATATGGTCCTTAATGCATTTCCACCCATCCATATCAACATTCTCACATATCAGTGACAACCATTTTATGAGTATAGTGTATCTTCTCTGATCAAAACATATTCCCATAAAGCCTAGTAGGCCTAAATAACATTTTATAAATAAATATATTCTGTCACCACCCTGGAAGGTTGAAACGTATATAATGTACAATTGCATCAGCAGTAAATCACTATGATTAATGGCATTCTTACTTATAGTCCAGGCGTGTTTTGTGCTATTCAAGTCTATCTTTCCAGTGTTATTTAAGTGTGTGTATCTTTCTGGTCTAGTAATAATCCAACTGTTCCCGGTCTGGTATCTGAATGCTTATGATCTTGTCCAACTTTCTAGTGAAATAAAACGTGATCGAATCCGGTCTGTTATGCATCTAAATCTGGTTGAACCCTGTGTAGGTTATTGGATTGAAATAAGAATCAGGTGAGTACCTTACTCTAGATGCCTATATCATAGAATAACACTTTAAGCATTTGAATCAGACTTAAACGTTTAAAACTTTTTGCTGGGTATCAAACCCCTCCCAATCCGTATTGAAAAGAGAAAGAGAACCAATATTTATAGGTTACCCTAACCCCATTAGTATGAGGCCTTTTGGGTGGAGCCTAAAAATTAATTCGTGCGGGTTTGACACAAAGCGGACAATATCATACTAATGCGAGTTCAGGATTGGGGTACATGTGTTCCAACATATGGTAACGACTAAAGAAAATAAAACAATTCATATTACTCAAGTAAAAGATACAAAAACAAGAGTTATACTTAAAATATTTAAGCAAATACAATATGAAAATTTGTTATTTTTGGATGCTGAATTCAGCAAATTTGTAATTTAACATTCATTATCTGCCTAATTTTGACTTCAATGGCTATTGTTTAAGAAATCTTTTCCTAACAATGCAATGAGGAAACGAAAATACAATGTAGAAGCATTTTTGTCCGGAATAATAAACAAGAAATTATGCATAAAAAGGCTAAAAGGTAAGCCAGAGACCTTTGTTTACGTTCCTGGATATGTTTCATATGAGCCTTGTAGTGGCTCTCAATGAATTTCTTCGCGGCGGCGACTCGTTTGAGAGTCAAGCTGGACCCCAGCTGCTCCTCCAATTCTTCCTCTGCCTCCTCTTCATTATCCACCGTCTCCTCCTCCTCCGCCGCCGCCGTTGACCCTTCCTCTTCCATTTCCTTCCGAATATATATGTTATGTGCCTAATTAAACCCCGGATTGATCGCCCGAATCAATTTCTCTCTCGCTCTAGGTATATCAGTGTGTGAGCACGTGAATCAACGACGGCGGAGACGGCGGTGGAGAGTTTTTTTTTGGTGTGTTTTTTAGCCGGGGGATGATGGGCGGACGGTCGGAATTGGAATTTTCGAAGAAGAATCAGTTTGCCTCTTCGCGTACAAATGGGCAATGGCCTCTCTCACAGTCTCACGCATAAACTTGGCGGGAGATGACTGGTGGCTGTTTTGGCCCCACCTTCACAAATAAAGAAATCTAGTCTTTCTCTTTTATAACTTTCTTTAGATTGAGGTTATTTTCAAGAATTTGATTGAAGTTCAATTCAATTTATTTAAAAGTATATGTAATTTAAAAATAATTTATATATAAAAATTACATCAAAAGTCTATTAAATAAAAATTGATATGAAAAGTACTAAAACAGGAGTAAAAAACTATGAAAAGTACTAAAATATGAGCGCTAAGTTTTTAAAGACCAAATAAGAGTATAATGACAATGTAATGTTATTGTACGCATTGGCAATGTGATGAAAAAGTGATGGCAATGTAATATGGTAATGTGACCAGTCTACAATCGGTAATGGGCAACAAAACTTTGGCAGCGACGGATGGAAGTGTGGCAGTTGCAGTATAACAATGTGATGAGCGTGCCAGTGTAACAATGGCAATATGAACTCTTGTACTCCGTATTAATCTTTACAAAATCTTAAACTCCTATTTTCGTGTTTTCATAGTTTTTTAATCTTATTCAGAAAGTTTTCTTTTTTGTATTATATGTTGATGTTATTGGCATTATAATTACTATTTAGAGATAAAAGATAAAGGTCTCTTCTAGTTCTTTTCTATGTTTTTACTCTTATTTTTGTTCCCCATACATTATGCATAAAACACCCCACCTTAGGGAGGTGACCCGAGTCAACATGACCGGATCGCTAGCAAAACTGGATTTACTTAGTAAAACATTCTTTAGAAATATATTTCTATTTCGATAATTAAAAAATTCAACCGTTTAAAAATTTACTTATTAAATACAGTATTTTAGTAGAATTTTTTTCTCAGCACGACCTCCATGTGTATGTTTTCCCCTATGCGATTGTTTCCTTTACTAGTACTTTCGTGCACTTAAATGGAAACTACATGCTGAATATATAAGTTATTCAATTTTAATACTTTTCACACACTTTAACTCATTTAGGAAACATCCATACTCTTAAATTGTTACTTGGAGACATTTTAAAAACTCTAGACTTTTTCTAGGTTAATCTTAATTAGATTAGAGAATAATCCATGACTATGTTAGAACACCGCACTAATTGATTCGTAATTTTACTTTTAGATATCACTCCATAACCTCGGGTCCAGTCATCGGAAGTGAATTATAGACCCACGGGTCATCGTTGGATTTTCCTACCCACATTGTGGCATGATAATTTTTAGACTCAACCACTTGAATACGGTTTGACCTTATAAAGTAGTTTCACCCACTTAAAAAAACGTGACAATACCTTGTCAGGGTACGTCATTAAAATTGATACTCTGTATTGACTAAATACATCCCGTGATACAAATTTATTTTATTAATAAACAAAGTTATACTCTGTATAAACTTTATTAATCTAAAAAATATAAATTATGATTTTATTTTTAAAAATTTATCATCTGATCTCTTATTTTATTTTTTATTAACTAAGATAAATTTTATTATTAATATTATTACATTCAATGTCCATTAATTTTGTATAACATTTTCTATTTTTTATGTATTATACCAATATGCATTTCATTATTTTAAATTTTTATTCTACATAATTATTTTAAAAAGAAGCTAAGCTAAGGTTATATAAGTTTTATTATTTGAAAAACAGCGCTTTATATAAAACTTTAAAGCTACTCATGATTTTTCTCCTTTATTACTTTTCCAAAAACAAAATATATAGATCTTAATAAATGTATAGCATTATAAAAATTACGAATTTTATTTAAAAAGTAGATACCATATCTACTTTTTAGAAAGTAGATACCATATCTTGTTCTTAATCTTCAATCCAGAAAAATTAAATTGCGAGTCTCGTTACTCAAACAAATCTCTTTGATTTCCGCTAAAACCACACATAGTAAACTTGTTAAAAATGTGTATAACATGCATATCATATGTTTGCTAAAAAATACTCCATATTTTAATTCAAAATATAATTTTATCAAAAAATTAAAAATTTTAGAATTCTATGAAGTCATGTGGAGTACAGAACAACAGTATTTTAGAAAGTGCTGGAGTGACATTAGTGTGAGGGTGAGTTTAGTATTTTGGTGTGTGTGGCTATTACAAACTTGAAATTTACTACGTATATTTTAGTGATATATTTTAGTAAATTTGCACTAAATATTATTTTAACATATATCTTTTCCCAATGTAGCATCTAAATTTTTATTTTCTAAATAGTGCTTGAACAATGTCTAGTGATAGAAACAATGTCCAGTGATGGTAGACATTTATTTTGAATAATGTTCACTGGTGGTAGACATTACTTGAACAATGTCCAGTGAATATTGAGCAAAGATATTACATTGGAAAATTAAAACACTTGAGATACTAAATTAGAAAACACACTATGTTTTACGTGGAGAATTATATAGGTAAATTTCCCAATATTTACTACTCCCTCCGTCCCACACCCATTTTGAATAGTATTTGGTCAAACAATTACACACTTTGACTACAGATTGTGAGAAAATTATATTGAATTATAATATAAATTTAATATAATTGGATTCATCTTAGGATCTAATTTTGATATATCAAATTTTTATAACATCTTTTTATTTAGATTATATTTAATTTATGATCAAAGTGTGTCACTGTTTAACTAAAAATACATCAAAATAGGTACCGTTTTGTTGGACGAAAGGAGTAAATGTTATTGAACAAACAATTAACATGAAATGATGAAATCATGAACCGGGATCATTTCCGTGAGACCGTGACTCCATATATTAGGAAAGGAATTTATTTGCAATGAAGAGAATTCAATACCTACTATATATAGAAAGTTTGGTGGAAATAATCCGACCATTTTATATTTTTTCAGATAGTATAAATAGGCACACGTCTCCCCCGCTCCAAACATACAACAAAAAACTACTCATCAGTACCCCTTCACTGACAAAACCATTATCATATTATTTATCAAATAATAATTAGTATTATGGCATCAGATCTCGACGCCATTCGTGAAACAGACTGCTCTGTTCTTGGTGAGTCACTCTTCTGCTCTTCTTTTGTTTATTTATAAGTTTTAACTGATTATTTACTAAAATAAAATATTATAAATTAAATTGTGTCTTTAATTTTGGGACGTACCGAAGTTGATACTCCTTCCATCCCAAAAAGTCTTTCACGTTTTAAAAAAATGGTGTCCCACAATCTCCTTCTCATTTATATTAAAAAAATCACTTTTACCCCTTACATTTTCATACCCTATCTATCACACCATATCTTTTTTCTAATAATCTACACATCACATTCTACTTTTACCCATCATCCAAAGGTATTTTTGAAAAATTAACACAAAATTACTTCTCTCTAGCTTATTTTGCCACTTAAGTTAAGTATCCCTCTCTTTCTGGGATAGATGGAGTATATTCACCATTTCATACATCTGCAAATTAAAGATGAGCAATATAATCCTCGTTTCATACATTTACGAGCAGCACAATACTCATCTCATAAAGAAATATGCAACGTGAGTATTATGTTACTAGCTCGCAAGTTGTAAGTGAGTATTATTCACTAGATCTGTGAAACGTACCATACATCTGGATGTACAGAAAACAAATGCATGTGAACTTTGTACATTATTATTAAGGACACAAGAACATTTATGTGAGATGATTTTGTGTGTGTGTGTGTGTAGGAAAGCACATGTGGCCGGAGCTGTTGGGAAAGGACTCGGAGACGGCAATTGCAACAATAAAGAAGGAGAATCGCAAAGTGAGACAATGGGAGGTGGTTAAGGAAGGGACCAATGTGGCAGAAGCGTTTGTGACTCATCGCGTCCGCATTTGGGTCGATGACTCGGGAATCGTGGTTCGCGTCCCGACTGTCGGTTAATATATACATTGAAATTCAATTCATAATTAAATAAGTTGCAGAATGTATGCAACAAAGCTAGATTTATTGTTGTTGTTAAAAGTATTTGTGGGCACCAATTTGTTTGGGCTGAGGATATATGTTATTGTCATTTGAATTTTTTGTCATTAAATAAGTGTTTAAGTGGTGGTCTTTATTAATGGAATCCCTTTATATATAATGACTTCATATAAATACAAATTACAAAGAGACATTTATGAACTTATTAAATGCTATAGTGATCGAACGTGTTCGCCATGGTTGTGGGCTAGGGCCAACCTTCCATTTTTTTATTATTTAATACTCAAATTGATTTATCTTGTTCTTAATCTTCAATCCAGAAAAATTAAATTGCGAGTCTCGTTACTCAAACAAATCTCTTTGATTTCCGCTAAAACCACACATAGTAAACTTGTTAAAAATGTGTATAACATGCATATCATATGTTTGCTAAAAAAATACTCCATATTTTAATTCAAAATATAATTTTATCAAAATATTAAAAATTTTAGAATTCTATGAAGTCATGTGGAGTACAGAATAAAAGTATTTTAGAAAGTGCTAGAGTGATATTAGTGTGAGGGTGAGTTTAATATTTTGGTGGGTGTGGCTATTACAAACTTGAAGTTTACTCCGTATATTTTAGTGATATATTTTAGTAAATTTGCACTAAATATTATTTAAACATATACTCCGTATCTTTTTTCAAATGTAGCGTCTAAATTTTTTATTTTCTAAATAGTACTTGAACAATGTCTAGTGACGGAAACAATGTCCAGTGATGGTAGACATTTATTTTGAACAATGTTCACTGGTGGTACATTGAACAAAGATATTATATTGGAAAATTAAAACATACTCCGTATGAGATACGAAATTAGAAAACGCACTATGTTTTAGTATTATATGGGTAAATTTCCAATATTTACTACTCCCTCCGTCTCACACCCATTTTAAATAGTACTCAGTATTTGGTCAAACAGTTACACGCTTTGACTACAGATTGTGAGAAAATTATATTAATTTATAATATAAATTTAATATAATTAGATTCATCTTATAATCTAATTTTGATATATCAATTTTTATAACACCTTTTTATTAAGATTATATTTAATATATGATCAAAGCGTGTACCAAAAATACATCAAAATGAGTAACGTTTTGCGGGAGAAAAGGATTAAATGTTATTGAACAAACAATTAACATGAAATGATGAAATCACGAACCGGGGATCATTTCCGTGACTCCATATTAGGATAGGAATTTATTTGCAATGAAGAGCAGTCAATGCCTACTATATATATAGAAAGTTTGGTGGAAATAATGCGACCATTTTATATTTTTTTCAGATAGACTATATAGGACTAAAACATAATGAGTTTCCTAATCTAGGACTTAAACTTTTTTATTCCCTAAATAGGATTTAATAATGTCTTCGTGGAAGGAATAATGCCCAGCAATGATGGACATTTACTTGAATAATGACTAATTAATAATGACCAAAGGTCCTACATTAGGAAATAAAAACATATGGTCCTATTTTGGGAAAGTCATTATGTTTTAGTCCTATTTAGGTAAATTACTCTATATAAATAGGCACACTTCTCCCCCGCTCCAAACATACAACAAAAAACTACTCATCAGTATCCCTTCACTGATAAAACCATTATCATATTATTTATCAAATAATAATTAGTATTATGTCATCAGATCTCGACGCCATTCGTGAAACAGACTGCTCTTTTCTTGGTGAGTCACTCTTCTGCTCTTCTTTTGTTTATTTATAAGTTTTAACTGATTACTACTCCCTCCGTTCCACAAAATTTTTCCCCTCCAAAATTACACTTTCCTTATTTTTGCCAAAAGTCAAAAGTGGAAGGATTTAATGGAACGGAGGGAGTACGTATTTACTAAAATAAAATATTACTATAAACTAAATTGTGTCTTTAATTTTGGGACATACCGAAGTTGATACTCCTTCCATCGCCGTCGGGAGCATGTTAAATATTCATTCTTCATGGTATCGGAGCCCTAATCTTTCACGGCTTCCCTTCCCCTTCTCCTTCTTGAGTTTCGGCCAAGCCCCCAACCCCCCCTCCCTCGTCGGATNCGGAATCGGAAAAAGTTCATTTTCCGGCGACTTTGATCGGCGGGCGGCGGCGGGGCGTGGAAGAAAAGAAAAGAAGAAATGGGGTCAAATTGAAAATTTTAAAATATATAAAATTCGAATTTGGCCCTAATGACCGGAAGTTAACCTAGAAACGGGCTAATGGCTCATTAGTGAAAGGATTGTGTAAGTTCAGGGATTTTTGTGAAAGGATTTGAAGTTCAGGTACCACTTCGAAATTCCAGCTAAAGTTCAGGTACCATTTGTGAAATTTACCCCAAACAACAAATATTCATCAATTTTCTTCCAACTTCCTTCCCCGACACACTTCCCCTTTATTTCCTTCCAAAAAACATACCATTAATTAAACAAATGCGTAAAACTTTGTTGTTATGATGCATCATGTTATTTGAAATATAGTATAAATCTATTTGATGTATTTATAGTTTGTTATTATATCACTCGTCCTCCTAATTAATGTTCAAAACGAACACTTACCTTTTGTGGTTGGAAAAACACAACAAAATAACTCATCATTCATCATTGTTAAATACAAAATATAGTTGGTTATCGATAATGCTAGGTATACAAAACATTTATACATCATTTTGTACACCACAATGTTGTATTAGTACTTCAATGACTCACATTTGCACAAAAGGTCTGTACGATTACAACAATTTACATTGACATTTTGTGGTAGTGTGTGAACGATCATAATGCAGGTGCAAAAATGTGAAATGCAAAATAATGTACATCAAATGTTATACGCCAAACATTGTCCATTAGATATATATAGAAATGTTAAGACGACACTTGGTGTTCATTGATAAATTAGAGTTATACTCCGCAATTGGATATATAAGACATGTTATGAGATACGGAGTATTATGAAAGTGAAAGCAAAACTTTCATGGATTTAATGTTTGCGTGGACTTTCATATAAATCAAATAAATTTACTTGTTATTGAGATATTTTTTTTAATTCTTATTTTAAAAAATAAAAATAACATGAGCAAAGTCAGAAGGTCCAGGTAAACTTTGTCGACTTTAGGTCCATGATAAAATTTATCTAAAATGAATGAATAAATACTTTATTATCTAACTTTTGTAGTCAATAAATTTAAATTTTGATCGTAAATTTAAAAAAATACTCTATTTTATTGTGATGTAAATTAAATATCCATACTATAACTTTATTTTGAAATATAGTCTTGAAATACCATATTTTTATAATATATATTTATATGCAACTCGGTTCTTTTGATCATAATTTTAATTGTCACAATATAACAACAACATCTACGTTGTCCCGTTTGAAAAATTAATGATTTTTACCCTTCTAAACCCCCTGTCCTTTCCCCAACACCCCTCTCCCCCTCCCCGTTGTAAAGAATTGTTGGGATCGGGGGCAAATGAGTTTAGAAGGTGTTAGGAATAATTAATTTTTTGAACAAAATATTGTAGGTACTATTGTCATATTATGACAATAATTTCTGTTGTCAAAAGGACCGAGCCGACACAAACACACATGCATTAATGATTAAAGGATTGTAATTGAAAATCGCAAAAGATTAAATAAATAAAGATATACTCCCTCCGTCCCATAAAGATAGAGATGGTTTGACTAAAGTGATAAAATAAGGAGGGATAATTTTGTGTTTACTTTCCAAAAATACCATTGATGTGATAGGTAAAAGTAAGATGCAATGTATAGATTATTAGAAAAAATATATGATGTGATAGATATATGGTATGAAAAAGTAAGGGATAAAAGTGATTTTTTAATAAAAAAAGAATGACTTTAAGGGACACAATTTTTTTGAAAACTTTATGGTATGAAGGGAGTGTGATAAAAATATATGATACAAAGATATACTCTAATAAAAAAGTATAAGATAAAAGGATTAAATAGATAGAAAGATTAAATAGGGAATAACATTTTGAATCATCAAATATTTTAAGTGTAATCTTTCTTGAGGATGCATTGACTTCAATTTTTGGTAAAAAAAATTCCAAGAAAAAGAGGAGATGGTGGACAAAATTATCCTATAATTAATAAGGAGCAATATTGGGCGGATTAACATCGGGGGCTAAACTTTCACAATTGCAACATCTGGACACGAGCCCAACTTCCAATTCCTTCTACGAACGACGACTAGAGCTACAAAAGATTTCCGCGAGCTTTTTCCTTCAGCTCTGGTGGGATCCTATATCCGACAATGCATCGTTCTTCCATATCAACAGGTAATTTCTTCTTCTTCTTCTTCTTCTTCTTAAGCTCCATTTCACCAGTCTTTCGCTGCTTCGACTTTCCAAGCTCGTTGAATAATTCGCGAACAGGAATTAGGTGTTAGCTTCAATTATCGAGATATGATGCGCAATTGTTAGAAATTCTTATCATTAGTGAATTCACAGATGGTCAAAATTTCGAATCTGAAACACTTTTCCGCAGATCTTCTATAAGCCCTGTATTTTCAAACTACAGATCTTAATTTCAAGTATCAGACAAGTATTATATTTTCCCAATTTTGTGACTTTACTAACTTTTTATTTATGTTTTTTTATAGCAGGCTGATTCTGCTGTATATTATTGTAATACGTGTTTTTGTTATCTTTTGTTTAAATTTTAAATTTTAACATTACCTATACTGGAAAACAAATTTGTATTTTGTTTTGCCATATTTGGTATTCTTAGGAAAAAGGAAGTTTTATGTAGAGATGCTGTGTTGTTGGTGTGAAAAAGTGATCATTTTTAGTTCAATATGTAGGGTGAAAGCAATAGCTGTTTTTGCTCCTCCATTCCTTGGATGGGGGATAAATTTTAAAAAGCTTCAATTTTACTTTTTGGTATAGCAAAATAGATATCATTATTGTTGTAGCAACCATTATTTTTGTAGCCCCCTTTCTTCTAAGTATATTTTTAGTTCAGCTCCAACCATACATTTTTAATGAAAAATGTCAAAAGATTAACAGATACTTTGGCAATCAGCATGGATGCTTCTTTACTGGAGAGCTACTTGTTACGCTTTGTTCAGTCAGTTTTGGTGGGTGAATTGGAAAAGCAAACCTTATTATGATATCTAGATTTATCAAATGTGAGAAGTGATGAGCTCAAGAGCATGATTTTATATTTATTCTTTTAGTAATGGAAAATGCTAGAGTCACAAACAAATAGTTCACAAACTTTCCTTTTGCAGATTTTAAATTAAAATATCTTTTATTATTTGGGTGCATCTTATTTCTAGGAAAATGTTAAAAAGGCAAGTTTGTGAATTTTGTGAGCTGTTTGTTTGTGATTCTAGCATTACTCTTTAGTAATTGCTTAAGAGCAATGCGTTAGAGTGGAAATTTTTGGGGTTCCAACCTGAGCCTCTTAAACTACTGGAATCTGGGGTGCTGGTTTTATATTGTATTTTAGTCTTGGTTTACTCCATTTGGAGAGGTTTAAACAAGGACTGAGGCTGAGTTTGGTCCATATGGAGAATTTGTTTAATGTTTGACATCTGATGAATGTTCAAACTGAAAAGCGGAAATTGAATTTGAAATTTTGAATGAAACTATGGAAAAGCTAAGTACTTAGCATTTATGTTCTCACAAGCTATCACTTCTAGCTTTTGCCTTGTTTTCAAAAGGTATTGGTCTTACTGATAGCCAAGTGCCTATAGTCAGTGGGATAACCAGATAGGTAAAATTGTAAACGTGAGAAGTGAAGTTTCCGTTAGCGTTTTTAACTCATCAAATCCATTATGTCTGGCGTACCTTTTAGGCCTTCAGGATTGACAAAATTTAATACTAAACTTGGTTATACGACTGTAATTTGAGAACTCCGTTTAATATCAATCTTTATGTATACTGTGTATATTGGTTTGAACTTTTAATTACTTTTGTTAACAGTAGCATTTGGTGATGAATTCTGAATGAGATTAATTTTTTGCTGGATTTTTCCCCCAGGAATATTGCAGTGCTAATTTTATATTCACCGGTGTGTGTTTGGTAATCATGCACAGTTGTTGAACAGCATTGCCATGCAAACCTGTGCTAACAAGGTGTGTAACAAGGAAAGCTTTTGGGGATTGATGCGATGTCTGCATCTAGTAAATATGATCTCACTTCCAGTAGCCCTGATAGGCCGTTATATGGATCCGCACATCGTGGATCCTACGGAGTCATGTCACTTGACAAAACAGGTAATATGGACAACCCAATGTCATCTTCTCTTGCAAACATGGGAAGAAGCAGTTCAGGTGCAACGCAGGGAGATGTTGTCAAATTCTTTCAGTGCTTACGCATTGATCCAAAAGCATTGGTTACTGAACACAAACTCAGACAAATAGATTATAAGCGTCTTACAAGTCTATCGCTTGGTGTACCCCTGGACGATTCTCCATCCGTGTCTTCAAAAGGAAAAACACTATCTTCTTCCTCACCCGAGGATGGTAGACGGCTAAAATTAAGTCTTCGAGATGGTTGCATCAAGGCTAGGTAGTTTTTGGAATGATATTTTCTCTTGTTTGTTTACTTCATGGAGGTCAATCAATGTTTTTAATAATGTGTACATTATATCAGGGAACGTGTGAAGATATTCTATGAATCTTCATCTGTGTTCAGCAAATGTTTCCCTAATGTTCCAACCAGGAAAAGATCTCGCTCAGATGTCTTATCCAATGACAGAAATATTGCTTCGTTTTCAACTGAGCGTCCACTTTCTGGGACAAGCATTAGTAAGATAGGGACCCAGAATCATAGCATTATCGGTGGGTTTGAAGTAGAGCAGCAAAAGTCAGATGAAAGGGCAAAAACTGTTATTCCAAGCAAACGTACCCGAACTTCTATGGTAGATCCAATGGCCTGTACACTCAATATTTGATTCCTTAGGGTAGTCATATCCTGTTTCACTTTCTGGTGGATTGCATGTTTATTGGGCAAGACTTGCTATGACTACTGTTTCTGGATGATATTTTCTTATCAACTTCAAAACAAAAACAATAAAACCAGTATAATTCCACCCCCCCTCTCCCCCCACACACACTAAAAAAGGAGTAGAAGATAAAATTAAATAGCAAAAACTGCTCCGTTTGGACCTCATCGCCTCAATTGTGTTTGTTAATGGCCTTAAAAAATGATGCTTAGGCTATGTAGCTATGGCCTTTAAAGGAGCAAGGTTGTGTACATCTTGACAACAACGTTGGGATTATTATTGATGTGTTTGC